AATCCATTCATTTTCATATCAGTCTGGGCCAAAGTGGTGGACTGATATCCACTGAGATGTACTAAGGTTAAACCTGATAACCCTGTTTTTAAATCTAATAATAAATGTGCAATAAAACTGCTTTGTAACACAGTTCCCACTCCACTTGTTTTAGCCTCTGGCCCTCAGAGCAAAATGGTCCTGGCATCCCAGAGCTCAACTAAACTGCAGAAAGAAGGAATGCTGTAAGAATCCAGGTTGTGATTATGTGGGTGTTGCTGGTGATCCCTCTCAGCCGGCAGGCACTGTGTGTGTTCAGTATTTGCTGTGGGCACATCTCAAATCACAAATCTTTCTCTTACCAGTACCACGTAAGTTGGACACATGCTGTTTTATCCATAGAGCTGTCTGAAAAATTGCCATGTCAACAAGCTGGCAGAGCAGAAACATTTAACTCTGGAGTGAGTTTATGGCTCGATGCCTCAGTGCATCACTCAGTATCAGCCACAAATGACTCAAGAAAGGTTGTAAAGTATACAAGTGTGAATTTGTTAATGTGTACAGCCATGAGGATTTAGTTTTTTCCCTTTTAAGTGAACACATTAACAGTTTAATATGTTTTCCAGTATGGATGTGCATACTGTACTGTAGGTGTTATCACAATCGGTTCCTTGACAGAACCTGTGAAAGCTGCAGGGATTGAAGCGGCAGTTCCAGCAAAGACGAACAGACAGAACTCTCTGGTGTCAGTCTGTGAACCTGTATGTTTAGAGACCTCCTCCCCAGCGCCCAATATGACATTACTATTCAGAAGTTTCCATCTCTACGGAGCAGAGGACAGACGAAGACTGCAGCTGGAGTGTACAGTACCACAGGCGGAGTCAGCAACTCCTCACAAAAATGCCAGTGTCACTCAGAAAAGCTTACAGACATTTAATGGCATGATCAAAGGAATAAATGTCTGTGCCCCATGTACAGTATTATTTGAAGATTTAAATGTGCAAACCTTTGGTGCCTTGTCCAAGATACCCAGGGGTCACAAAAAAAAAAAAAAAAGAGTTTGGACTATGTCTACAGGTTATAGAGACTTTGAAAGCCCAGTCCAGCCTGACTGGACCACTACTAAGCTTATATTGCCTAAAGCCATGTCTTTAATCTTTGGGAAAAGTTTCTCTATCATCAAAGTGTTCTTAGACAAATCTCTACCAGGCTCAAGGTGCTGCTCTAGAACTAACCCTGCTCTGAGCATCAAAATTGACAAAACCATATTTTAAAACTTTTAAAACCTTTGAAATTCTTACAGAAATTGCTAATATTGAGGTAATTTCTGGCATTAGAGATACATTCTGGAAGATCATGTTGCTTTTTACTTGCTGTGTGCACAGTCACCTTCTGTTCACCTTCATTTTACTGGAGTAACCACAAAGCTCAAAGGCAGATGTTTTAAGCTAACATCTGCTTTCTGAGTGTAAGTTAGTCAGTCTGAAATCTAGTTTCCACATTCAGTATTCACAGCGCAGAATAAAATATAGCCTATTTTAAAATTTCAGCAGCATCTAGTTAGAAAATTAGTTTTGGAAGTTAGTTGGCAGCCTGACTTGCTTCACCACTGACTCCCAATAGACATTACTCTAGTTTCAGCACCTGCTGAGTCATCAGGTTTTGAGCCTCACTCAAAGTTGCAGTTGTCCCACTATGAGCTATAAGGGGGCTGGGATTACCTCATGATTCAAAGGATAACGCAGTTGGAGTAATGTACAGGGTAGTCGAATGTTTGTGTAGCCTCTGGAACTGTGGTTAAATTAGGATGTTATCAGTTGATAAAAAAAAAAAAAAAAAGATGCCTGCTGCAGAGCACTAATATAGAGGCAGGCATCCCTGCAGAAAAAAGAGAAGATTTACATTTCTTCTTTTTGCTAATTGCAATTTTGATCACAAAAGTATTTCAGTTTGTCATTAAAACTATCTGCATAGCTTTATACCACTGGAGGTAAATGAGAACATGTGTAGTTTTGTAATTTGGATGACCTGACACATTAAAGATTATACCCGTATGGAATGTGTGTATGTGTGCATATACCTGGCTAGATACTGTCCTGAAGAGGGCAGCTCATGTCGGTTTGGTTTGTCATAACAATTCACCATGTTCTGAATGAGCGCCAAGTCTGGCCTCACCATGGTTGCTGAAGTGACTGCTCGGCCAATCAACTGCAAAGCATCCCGAATGTAGAAGCTGATTGGCTTGCGGCCAACCTCCCCGTAGGCTAACAATCCAAGGGGACCTCCTAGAGTGTGTAGTGAATCCGGAGACAAAGGGTATCCCATGATCCACTGCAGTGCTGGTAGTGCTTGAGCGAGGCGCTGCGCAGCCCGCAGGACGGAGGAGAGACACTCGGGGTCAGAGCCCAGGAGAAGAACAGAGGAGATGGGAGAGGGGGAGTGCAGGAAACGGGTGGAGAGGATCTTCAAAGCCTCCTCTTCCATCTGATCCTCCCTCCTCTCTTCGCTGGCCTCTGCCCTTCTATCCCCACCCCCTGTAATGCCAGTCAGGTTCACGATGTCCCACAAATGCCAGTTAGAACCACTGTGCCTCTGCAGGTGAGACAGCAACCCATCACCACCTTCCTCCCACCCAGGGCAAATTACAACTGCTCCTCCCAAGCTGTCTTTTCCCCGGCTTCCTCTGCCCCCGTCTCCTCCTTCCCCCTGCAGGACCGCCAGCAGCAGGCTGCCCAGGGTTGATGGAGGCACACGGGCCGACATCTGCAGGTGGAATCGATTCTGTCAGAGATAAGGAAGGAGAAGGTGGAAGAATTGAAAGAATAAAGAAAAAAGAAGTGACAAAGGTAGGGGGGGAGCACAAGTTAAATAATGAAGAAGAGAACAAAATGGGAGAGAAGAAAGGGAGAAGGAAAAAGAGAAAACCAGATCAAAACAGGGATTAGCCAATATCTTGGGGCTGAATAATATAAAATCACATTAAACACAGCTTTTATGAGCACCAGAGTACTGCAAAGCAATCTCTGTTGCTTCAGCAATTCACCACAACACTGATCAGGAACAATCAGTCACATTTGTTCATTATCTCCCACCCTGAATGAGAAGAGCTGCGCTGGTACAAACAAGGAGTCAATGATTCGCATCTAATCTGCAGCATCACAGTTGGCTTGGCAAGACAACAGCAGCATCCACAGTTCATCCAGAAGCCCTCATTTCCAAAACCCCAGTGAAAACACTAGCTTGTTTCATACTGTTCCAAAATGAATAACACTGTTGTCCTTGAATGCAGCTCACAGATGGACCTTCCCCCCTCCTTCCTTTGGGGCTTCTCTCCATTTTTCATCCAGTCAGTGCTTCAGGCAAGGTGGAGCAGGGAGACTAGAGGGGGCTTTTATATAGAGACCCTGTGCCTTAGGATTCGTTTTGGATGGTGCCACCTCATTGAACTGAGATGATAGTTATGCAGTAGAGACTATACTCGTACACACCCTCTGGCACAAATGCAAACATATTTTCAGCATATGCAGAAATGCATGTGCTCAGACAATACACACACACCTAAAACACACATACAACTTAGAAAAATGTGTACATATACTGTAAACCCACACAGATCCATCAGATACATACAGTATGTGTAGATAAATCTTTGGAATATATATACCCAGACTCATGAGATATCTAAACCCAACTGTAACCCACACTAACACACATGCATTCAAATGGAAATATCCCACTTGGGACTACAAAGAAACTAGTGCAACCCTCTGCTGAAAGTCCTCGAGTCCCTTAGGAGATGAGGGAAAAGATAAAAAAGAAAAGAAAAAGAAAAACCTATTTGAAGTCTGGAGAGACATGGATGAATTAATGCAGCGTATGCATTCACCCTCACGAGAGAGGCTAGGTGTGCACGAGGGGACGACTGAAGATAGGCCTCTTCTTTGAACTCAGTGGGCAACCAGAAAGGTGGTTGGGGAGGGTGGGTCAGTGGAAAAACACCAGCGGGTGGTACAAAAGACCACAGGAGGTGCCTGCTATAGGTGTGAGCATTTTTCAGCATATAACCATCAGGAACTAATCTAATGTCATGCATATTTTCTCAAGACTCTGGACTCAGGGAACCCAAAATACAAAGATAGAAGATCAAAACAGGGGCCTCGAGGCAGCTGGAGGAGTTAACATGTAAATCTATATCTGCTCTCACTCTGGGTTTACCCTGGATATGATCCATCTATGTTCTTAAATATTAATTTATGGCAAACTGTTAGTGTAAGGATGTTATGTTGCTGAGTAAAAACACATACAAATAGCAAAAGCTACAAAAAGAAGACACAGCACGCCAAAAAGCAGACGAGTAAGCATCATGTGCAAAAAACTGCAAATTATGCTGAATACACTGTAGCTCAGAAAGCCAGAGACGGCTTCTTGCTAAATATATCATTGTCTGCATCAGCTGTTTTGTACCAGCAGAATTTTCTCTTAGACCAATAATTCTGTCTAACATGCTTGGTTTTAAAGAGATCCTTTACATTGAAGGCATTATTCAGACAATAAAGATGTGAGAATAATAATAGGAGCTAACCGAAGCACAACAGAAGTTGTAGTTGCTGCTGTTAGGAGAGGCAAAAAAAGAGAGTGAATGGAGGAAGCGGATGTGGGAGCCGGGATGTGATTCTGAAGAGACACTGTGATACAGTATGAGCCTCATGAAGATATTTCCATTCCATAAGAGGTTTTGGCTGCCGGAGGAAGGACTTTGTGAGCAGTCGAATGTGACAAGCATAACAGTGGACTCAAAACTTAAAAAAAAAAAAAAAAAAGAAGCACATCACTTATTGCCTATTACCTCTGGGGTCCCTCCTGCCTGTATTTGAACATTTCAGTGATAATACTGCCAGTGATAGAGTACTGTAGAAAGAATCCTCTGCTGTGCTCAAAGGCTCTTGCATATCTAAAGCATATCTAAAAATGTCTCTGTTTATAGTAGTGTACAGTATTAAAAATTATTTTGCTATTTTGGACCAATCACATACAAAAAAAACTTGAATATGACGTCTTTGACTGAAGCCTATCCTGCCTGGTCTGGAGCTAGCCTCTGATGTAATTCACAGTAGCCCCAGTTAACCTACTGCAAGCCAGCCTTTTAGTTCTCTCCCTTAGTAATTATTCTTTCCTCTCACATGCACACTTTGGGTTCTTTAAGGACAATAATGAAGAGCTGTTTGCCACTCATTTTCAGAACAAGCTGAGCTGATCTTCAGTCAAACAAAGAAAATCCTCCATGTAGCATCTCGAAGTACTGCACTGCATCCAGAACAATGAAGTCGACACTCCAGCTTAATCCAGTGTGTCTTAAACAATCTGGCAGCGTCAGTGCTTATCCTTGTGACATGCCAGATTCACTGTATGCGTTTAGCTTTTATGAATATGTCTGCGTACTTGTGTGTGAACACAACAAATCTTCAAGCCCACTGGAGCTTTCCACCTGAATTTGGGTTTGGCATCCTGTGGTTTTTTTTTTTGTTGGGTCAGGGCCAAATTTGTTGTTGCTGTTATGAGAATCATTTTATTTGGGGCATGCACATCCATACATTATAGTCCTACAATAAATACATTTGAATGTAAAATGTCATTTTAAAGCAGGCTCAAGGGAACCTGAGTCAAGTTTTAATCTACAGAGGAATGCAGGCAGTATATTTTCATGATGTCACAGTCTAGACAATATAAAAAGTGGCTGTACTGTCTGGAACTGGAAAGATTGCAGACAATTGGCAGTTTCTTTTGAAAGACAGAGTTATGTCTCTTTATGGATTTGCTTCAGTGTGCAGGGACCAGATAGACACAAACATTCTTGATCCTGCTCAGGTCAAACCAGCCCAAGGTTGATCTTTTTCTAAGCTCTGGCTTGTTTAGAAATGTAGTCGATGCTTTCCCTAAGCAGCCACATTTTCAATTTGAAAGGATCTCCGATATGTATGTGTATGAATTTTTGTGTTCATAGTCTTATCTTTTTTTCTATTTCCAGGTAATAGTTCCAGGATATGCCAAGGAGGCAAAACAAGCACAGCTTCAAGGATTGCCAGCATTATCTCAGTATCTACAATCCATGCCCCTTCTCACACATCTGCGAGCTAGGAGCCTCCATCTGAACTCCTGTCTCTACTAAAGAAATCCTGAGAGCTGTTAAATGCACTGACCTAAATATTTTTAGGTCTTCAAGGCAGGTCTTCAGGCACACATGCAACAGACAAAAACAAGCTGGCACACACAGGCACTTGTGCAAATACACACCAATACAGTACAAACACACAGTGGTGTGAATCCTCAAGCATAAATCCAGAGGGATCTTTGGGCCATGTGGGGTAAACTGACAGGAATGCAGTTTGAATCAGAATGGAGGGAGCGGTTTCCAGTTACTAAGCTGTTTCCTTATTTAGCCTTCCATAAGATAAGCATCACCAATTGGAATTTGTGCAGCTGAATGCACAATGCCGAAAAAGATAAGACTGAGTAAAGAAGTAACAGCAGCAACTGCAGTTTCATACCTTATTAACAAAAAACTGGGGCAAAATGCAATGAGGTGGAACTTGGGAGCACAAGTGTTTGGATGTTCTGGAGGGTTTGAGTGACGTGAGGGAGGCTGAAGATGCCTTAGATGTGAGCTGAAGCTTGACAGAAAACTGCATCTCCTCTTGTCCTTTCTCCTCAGCTTCAGGCAATGGATTGCATTAACTTGCTTGTCTTATCAATGTTGCCCCAGTTGGGCTTAACGTTACAGTCCTGAATCATCTGCATCAAGCAAAGTCCTGTAGGAGGGAGCGAGGAGACGATGCTTTGAGTCGCCTTTACTGCAACAACCGCTACAGGTGTCTAAGTGGCCGCTTAACGTCCTCCTCTGTCCAGAAACAAAGCACAAGTCAGGGCAGCACTTCAAATAACAACACTTTAAGACATTTCACCAGTGCTGTCACAAGGTGGGTTGTCTGTATATTGTGAGGATGGAGGGCGAGATGAAAATTGGAGAAAATCATATGTTTTAATATTTGTATTTGTGAAGAGGTATCAGGTGACGGCTTGCATCTGAGTGTGAGCGTAGCAAACAGAAAGAGATTAAGTGATTTTCTCAGCAGGGTGCAAGTTGTATATTTCAAACACCTGAGCTGAAAACTACATTTTTTGTAACCAGAATGTCAGATTAAAATGTCAGTGTGTATAATAACTAAATCCAACATAAGAAATTCGATTTAACCTGCAGCATGGAATTGGTTTCCTGTCAGAGGACTAAAACATGAGAAACTGGCATCATAAAGCTACATTAAATCACTCATAATGAATAAAGAAACTGTTGAATGTTTGTGGTGTCAGATTTTTTCTTACTGTCCAAAAACCACATATAATTCATTATGTCACCAAAGTTGTTTGCATAATTAAAAACACTGAGCAGCCCTGTTTCTCTTTAGTCGACCAGACAGTGGCTAACAGAGCAGTCAGCTGTACCGCTGTATAACTATATACCAAAAGCACTGTTTAATTTTCCCTTAATTTCCTTACATCTCCTGGCACTAATTGTAAGATGGGTGGCTTTAATCATATTCAGCCATTCTGTCGCATGATGGAACAAAGCTTGGTGGGGGGGGGAAGAGGCTGGCGCTCTTACACCTATACACAGTAGAAGTGCACATGCAAATGCACACATACACCAAATGAGAATGCACACAGAGGCTCTGCTTACAGGTGTCTGAAAGTGTGCCACAAACTCATACATGCACTCAAAACAACTG